ACATTTAAATTATGAAACTAACTTGGTTGAACTTGATATAACATATTTTTAATTATATATAGAAATATATTTCAAACCGTATATTGTCTATACACTATAGTTAGGATAACTATTAACTTTTTTAAAAATTTGTACCTACATTTTGTACATACTTTTCAACATGGCATCTTCCCAAAAAATGATCAGTATTTGGAAGGGAATCTAATATACAGTAAATTGGAAGAGAGTTTTCGATATATGCCAATTTCGATTTTAGTATCCGATGAGGCCCATCTTCATAGTACTTTTAACAGATCTATATCAAGTCTAAAAATGGGATCAATTTTTTTTAAATCTTATATAAAGCATATTCTGCATCCAATACGATACGATATTACGTCTATCGGTTTATTTGTAAAATTTCATGTCAATAAAGCACAAAATGTCATATGGGATGGATTGAGCAAAAAGGGAATTCCACAGAAAATAATCCGAAAAATAAGAGCGATGTACCTAGAGGCAGAACTCTTAGTTCTTCACAACAGGAACATAAGCCAACCATTTCGCACCAAACGCAGGAGTAAAACTGTTCACAATTGTACTGGATAAAATAATAAATGAAGTCTGCTCTCAGAGAAGGGGCAAACCATGGGGTCTTTCACGACAGTTCGAAGACTTAGACTACGATGATATCTGCCTTCTCTCGCACCAGATATCCAACAAGCAGTCAAAAGTAGAAAATTTGGAGAGACTGGCAAGCAAAGTTAGACTTGGAATGAATTTCAAGAAAACAAAGCCTATAATCATGTTTCGGAAGCATTAAAACATCAAGTGATGGTGCTGAAACAGGCGTAACCAAAAGGCTTATAAAAGCGATAGCAGCATTCGGCCTTGGGATACGTAGTCGAGCGCAAAAGTCGACTTTTCGATTTTTGCCTTTGACTAAAAAGACGACTTTATCAAATCTGTTCACAATCAATTTTCGACTTTTACCGACTAATCGATTAAATTTAATCTTTTTTGATTAATTGTTGTCAACAGATAAAATGAAGTTCTCGAATGTGTAATTTTTGAACAATTTGGACTTTGGGATTAAACCAAGTATTTGTGAGGAAGATCAAAAGTCGATCTTTAAAAGTCGACTTTGCGATTTCCTGAAAGATAAAAATTCTACTTCAACTTTTAGACTTTCAATATAAAAAGTCGATTAATCGTTTACTCGAAAGTTGATTTACTTATACCTAATTCGGTCGACTGAAGTTGTATGGAGAAGCTTACATATCCAGGAAAGCCAACCTTAAAATATTTGAAGCATGTATAAAGTCGATTCTGCTATACGACAGCGAAGTCTGGCTTGTGTCAAATACCATCACGCAAAAGCTATAGGATGCCTAAAGATCATATGCAGAATATTCTGGCCCAACATCACAAGTAATGTAGAGCTGTGGAATCTAATGGACCAGGAACCCATATAAAAGCAAATTTAACCTAGGAAATTGAGATGGATTGGCCAGATCTTATAAAAAATGTCCATAGCATAAAGAATGGCTCTCGAATGGAATCCCCAGGGATCAAGAAATCGAAACACCTGACGGCGAACAATAATCCAAGAATTAAGACAAAATATCCTTACATGGGAAGATGCAAAACCAACGGCAGCTAACCAAGTAAGATGGATATGCTTTGTTAAAGTCCTTTGCTCCCAAAAGGAGTAACAGGAAAAAAATCCACAAAGAATGATCGTAACGAACATGAAAATAAAATCGAATTCAGTTCCTCCGCAAAAGGAACTAGTTTACATGTGGTTCAATTGTTTATGGGTACACGTCAGTTAATTCGACCAATGAACCGGAAAATATAGATGAAAGATTAGAACTACTGAACAATAGGAACTACAGAGACAATAGGAATTAGACCAACTAAAAAACCGAACATATCAACAATAGTCTTTTTGCGGATTACTTTATTCGAAACATTGTAAAGAATAATAGTGTAATCAAATTGCCAGTAGGTATTGTTATGTGTGAACAATAAATTTTGAGAATTTTATTAATAAATATCTATTATGCCTATCATATTTTTAAGATCAAAGTTCTACCAAGCTCTTTAAAAAAACGTAAAATAATAAAATACAGAGTAGTGTCAAAATTTTCCAACTGTAAAATATAAATCTCTTGAACCTTCCCTACTATTTTCTGAAACTCTAAACAAATTGTAAACTCTCGAATGATAATAGTAAATGTGTAAGCTATTTTGTACTATGTAATATGTAGTCCTATCTGTAATTCTCATTCGATCTCTATCTCTCTAACTGTCCACTAGTAAACTATTATTGTAACGTTGACGTATGACGTTGTAACGCTTTATTTTTGAATCTAAACTATTGCTAATGCTACTGCTGCTGCTTCTTCTTCTATCCCCACATCAACATATCCAGTTTGCGTAACACCAACTACATCTCTTACAGCCTTGAAGCCCAAAAGCTTAACTTTATGATTGCAAAATATTTTAAATTAGACAGTTGTTTTTATACCGCTTTAATGGCACAAAATTGAAAATATTTAAAATTTTATGGTTTCCAATTTAAAAAAAAAAAAAAAATATCAACTGAACACGCGCTTTCAATATAGTTCACTGCTTAAAAAAACTAACATTTTATTTAGATTTACTTCCTTGACTCGTTTTCATTATAATTTACTATACTCTTCATCACCTCTATTCTAAGAACTTTTGTATTATATATTTAATTTTTTTAACTTATCAGTAAACTACAAAAAAAAATCAGTAAAAAATTATGCAAATGTATGAGAATACAATTAGAAATTAAATGCAAACAAAATCATCATGGTATAATAATAGAAGGTAACAGCAAGTGTTGTTGTACAAAAACCAATACAACAACCACATGGAAATTTGTTATTGTAAGTTCTACTAGTGCCAACTCATTTGACAGAAAAATGTTAACAAACAAACAAATTATCATCAAATTATTTTTATTTTGAAAATGGAATATTTTCGAATCCTCAAAATAAAAATTGAAAAACATGAATGAAAATCTATCAAATTTATATTTCTATCGCTTCCACATCTTTCCTTTAATTGAGCCATTGCCATATATATGTGTAACACATATGACAATGCTGGGAATAGCGAGTAATTCCTTCAAGAAAGATTTGCTTCCTCAAACTTTCCCAGCAGGCAGATTGAGTAAATTGAATACGGGGGCACATTAATAAAGAACAATTTCAAATTGTTTGCGTTCCCAATTTTCCTGTTGGGTGATTTTTAAATACATAATTTGTCAAATTCATATTGACACTAGTATTACGTTGGAATCAAATCAGCTGGGATTTGCTGTTACCTTTTATAATTGTACCATGCAAAATCATGAACAATTATGTAGTTAAAAAAAAACAAAACTAATTAAGAAAAATGTTGAAATAAGTTGAGAATAAGTACAATATAAATCCTGTTATTTGACTTGGATAGTCATTTAAAAATATTCTTTAAAAAAACCACATCTATGCCATGGATAGTCCTTGAAAAATAATCTTTTAAAAAATCCATGCCTATTGTTACGATAGTCATTGAAAAATATTCTTTAAAAAATCAGTGCCTATGCCATGGATAGTCCTTGAAAAATATTCTTTGAAAAATATTCTTTAGGATAGTCCTTTAAAAATATTCTTTAAAAAATCCACGCCTATCATATCCATATGGCCTAGGATAGTCCTTTAAAAATATTCTTTAAAAAATCCACGCCTATCATATCCATATGGCCTAGGATAGTCCTTTAAAAATATTCTTTAAAAATTTAACGCCTAGGATAGTCCTCTAAAAATATTCTTTAAAAAATCCACGCCTATCATATCCATATGGCCTAGGATGGTCCTTTAAAAATATTCTTTAAAAATTTAACGCCTATGGCCTAGGTTAGCCCTTTAAAAATATTTTTTAAAAAATCCACGCCTATCATATCCATATGGCCTAGGTTAGCCCTTTAAAAATATTTTTTAAAAAATCCACGCCTAGCATATCCATATGGCCTAGGTTAGCCCTATTAAAAATATTTTTTAAAAAATCCACGCCTATCATATCCATATGGCCTAGGTTAGCCCTTTAAAAATATTTTTTAAAAAATCCACGCCTATCATATCCATATGGCCTAGGTTAGCCCTTTAAAAATATTCTTTAATAAATCCACGCCTCAGTTGGCCCTTTAAAAATATTCTTTAAAAAATCCACGCCTATGCCATGGATGGTCCTTCAAAAAATATTCTTTAAAAAATCCACGCCTATGCCATGGATGGTCCTTCAAAAAATATTCTTTAAAAAATCCACGCCTATGCCATGGATGGTCCTTCAAAAAATATTCTTTAAAAAATCCACGCCTATGCCATGGATGGTCCTTCAAAAAATATTCTTTAAAAAATCCACGCCTATGCCATGGATGGTCCTTCAAAAAATATTCTTTAAAAAATCCACGCCTATGCCATGGATGGTCCTTCAAAAAATATTCTTTAAAAAATCCACGCCTATGCCATGGATGGTCCTTCAAAAAATATTCTTTAAAAAATCCACGCCTATGCCATGGATGGTCCTTCAAAAAATATTCTTTAAAAAAACCACGCCTATGCCATGGATGTTCCTTCACAAAATATTCTTTAAAAATCCACGCCTATGGCTATGATAGTCCTTCACAAAATATTCATTAAAAAATCCACGCCTATGTCATTGACAGTCCTTGAAAAATATTCTTTAAAAAATCCACGCCTATGCCATGGATGGTTCTTCAAAAATCCACGCCAATGGCTGTGATTGTCCTTAAAAAATATCCTCTTTTAATCCGCAACTTATTTCAACATGCTTAATTTCCGCATTATTAGGGCTCTAACATTCTATTGCAAATATTTAGATTACTAACATTCTTTAATTACATTAATTAACATTTTTACTAATATTTAATTATTTCTCAATTTATATTTTCCCAAAAAAATCAAAAAATTAAAAAATTATCACAGATGGGGTCGAGGTCCTCGCCACGGTTCGTTAGCCGGTCATCATCCCACCATTATCGATTATCGGACGGGATACATAAGGTCCCATCTTCGGTCACCCTCTGGCCGTGTGAGATGACTGATTTGTCGCCAACCGGTTTTCTGCAACAACAGCAGCACAGCCAACAACATCAACACCAAAGCAATCATCATAATGCATCAGGTACCACAGCAACAACAACACCAGCCAGCAGTAGCCGGCATCATCAACGCCTTGGACATGGTCATTTATATTCCAGTCTATCGCTATCGTCCACCGGTGGCGGTAGTATTGGCATACCTGGTATTGTTGGAACAGCTACAGCTGGCCTGGCAGGCAGCAGTGGCGCATCTGTACATCATGCTACAAGCAGTCATGGCAGCAGCATACGTGCTCCTCCAGTTGGCAGTGGTGGTGGCCGTTTATTTTCATATTTTGGCAATGATCACGAACATGAACGTAAAAAATCTGAAACATCATTTTTCAATTTGGGTTTTCGTCGTAAATCTACAGTGGTTTATTATGCGGCCACCGATTAATTGCGATGGTGTTCGTGAAACGACAGAAATGACAGCGAGAAGAACGGCAATGCTCATCAAATCCCTGATTGGCTTTATGACCATATAATAAAAGCGGCGGGATAATAAATATCGTATCGTATATTAAGTACAATATTTAATTAAGCACACACAGGCCCACAGGCCCCAATACAAATCCATGCAATTATTATTAAATTAAAAAAATAAAAAAAACAGCAACAAACTTCTACAAAAGTTGAAAATTAAGGTAAATAATGAAAATAAAAAAATAAATATTTTAAATGATATTCGACTCTGAAGAAATTCAATGTTTATTATTAAGAAACTGATTGAAAAACACAAATAACAAAAAGCGACAAATGTATTAAAACTAAATTACAAATACATATACAACAATTAATTAATTTTGTAATGTTTAAGTTTATTTTGTAATTACGATTATTTGTATATAAAATGTCCTTTAAAAATATGTTTTTAAAAAATCCACATCTATGGTTGAGATAGTCCTTAAAAAATATTTTTTAAAAAATCCACACCTATGGTTAAGATAGTCCATTAAAAATATTCTTTAAAAAATCCACGCCTAAGGGTGGATAGTCCTTTAAAAAATCCACGCCTAAGGGGTGGATAGTCCTTTAAAAATATTCTTTAAAAAATCCTCGCCTAAGGGGTGGATAGTCCTTTAAAAATATTCTTTAAAAAATCCACGCCTAAGGGGTGGATAGTCCTTTAAAAATATTCTTTAAAAAATCCTCGCCTAAGGGGTGGATAGTCCTTTAAAAATATTCTTTAAAAAATCCACGCCTAAGGGGTGGATAGTCCTTTAAAAATATTCTTTAAAAAATCCTCGCCTAAGGGGTGGATAGTCCTTTAAAAATATTCTTTAAAAAATCCACGCCTAAGGGGTGGATAGTCCTTTAAAAATATTCTTTAAAAAATCCACGCCTAAGGGGTGGATAGACCTTTAAAAATATTCTTTAAAAAATCCACGCCTAAGGGGTGGATAGTCCTTTAAAAATATTCTTCAAAAAATCCACGCCTAAGGGGTGGATAGTCCTTTAAAAATATTCTTTAAAAAATCCACGCCTAAGGGGTGGATAGTCCTTTAAAAATATTCTTTAAAAAATCCACGCCTAAGGGGTGGATAGTCCTTTAAAAATATTCTTTAAAAAATCCACGCCTAAGGGGTGGATAGTCCTTTAAAAATATTCTTTAAAAAATCCACGCCTAAGGGGTGGATAGTCCTTTAAAAATATTCTTTAAAAAATCCACGCCTAAGGGGTGGATAGTCCTTTAAAAATATTCTTTAAAAAATCCAGGCCTAAGGGGTGGATAGTCCTTTAAAAATATTCTTTAAAAAATCCAGGCCTAAGGGGTGGATAGTCCTTTAAAAATATTCTTTAAAAAATCCACGCCTAAAGGTGGGATCACATGATTGTCGCAATGCGCCAATTTAAACCAATTTTTATTGTCCAAAGTTTTACTACAATAAATAAATTGTCACAATCAAATTCTCTGCGGTCACATGATTGTCCAACTTTTCATAAATTTGATTGCCGCATATTGTCTCAAAACCATCAAGTGACAATTATTGTCCAACTTCAGTCACACGATTGTTCTACTACACGGCAAATATCAGAAGCAGCTGCTATGTGTCAAAGTTTGTTTATTAAAAATGTTAAAGCATTTAAAAATTTGTTTTATTAAGATGTGTTCTTTAAAAAAAAAGAAAATTGCAGCAGCTATAATTATGGTGTGTGCATTTGACGATGAGAAAAATGAAAGGAAAGAAAAGAAAAAAAAAGTAAATAGAAGTACGTGGGTCAGAGAGTGGCTCACAAAAAGAAGCACTGATGGTGCATATGACAAAACATTAATGGAATTCCGGGAAATCGAAAACCAAAAGTTTTTGTTTAAAAATTTTATCCGGATGGATGACGAAACGTTTATCGAATTGTTGCAACTAGTGTCACCATATATTAAAAAACAAGACACAAACATGCGAAAGGCTATTCCCGCAAATACGCTTAGCTGTGACACTTCGATTTCTTGCATCTGGTGACAGTTATAAAAGTCTTTCGGTCTTCTTCCGTGTTGCCCCAAATACCATATCACTTTTCGTACCAATTGTTTGTGATGCTATTTATAAAGCGTTAAAAGGTGCATACATAAAGGTATGAAAAATCTAAATACACACATATTTATGCTTTTTAATTGACTTATTATTTCTTTTGATATGTATGTAGATACCATCCACGCAGGAAGAATGGAATGTCGTTGCTTTCAAATTTAACAAACTATGGAACTTCCCGAACTGCATAGGGGCGGTTGACGGCAAACATGTGCAAATTATAGCACCACCTAATTCAGGAAGCACCTTCTATAACTATAAAGGTACACATAGTATAGTGCTAATGGCAGTTGTTGATGCCGAATACAACTTTTTATACGTTGATGTTGGCTGTAATGGTCGTGTGTCGGATGGTGGAGTCTTTGGAGACTGTACTTTTCAACGTGCTTTAAACAATAATGAGCTAAATTTGCCACTTCCAAAACCATTGCCAGGTCGTCAAGCAAATGTTCCATTTGTTTTGGTTGCGGATGATGCTTTCCGCATGCAGAAACATTTGCTGAAGCCATATCCTGGTAAAAGTTTATCTGCAGGGCAGAGAATATTTAACTACAGGCTATCGAGAGCACGACGTGTTGTAGAAAATGCATTTGGCATAATGGTCAAGCGATTTCAAATTTTTTCACGCCCTTCCAAGCTTAATGCAGAGAAAACAACCTCTACAACTCTAGCTTGCTGTGCATTACACAATTTTTTGTTAAAAAAAAATTTAAATTATACAACGTCGTTGCTTGTTGATCGCTACGATGAGGACGGTGCTTTAATTCCTGGTACATGGCGAAATGACTTCCCACTAGATGCTGTGAGTGGAACAGAAAATGTTCCAAGTTCTTATATAACAAGTGAAGCAAAGGCTGTTCGGGATGAAATGGAAAAGTATTTCATGTCTCCTATTGGAGAATTGAGCTGGCAATATAAAAATATATAAATAATTTTATATATCAAATAAAATTTAAACTTTAATTTAAAATCAGAAAATTTACTAGTTTTATTTAATTCATTTTTAGTATCTAAAAAAATACGGACTAGGAAGGTACTTCAATATTGCAAACAAAATAACAAAACAAAAACTTACATATACATACTATAAAAATTCAATTTAAAAAATGAAATATAACGCAAAAAATTTATCAAGGCTTAATCATCTTCTTCAGCTTCCAAAGCTGCATCCATTACGACTTTGACAAGCTGGAAATGCAGTTTGTTCGCAGCCTTCTTGTTTTTCTTGGCAATTTCTCGCATTTGTGATGCCAAATACATCCCAATCGCGTGCCAATTATCTTCCTCCGCATCTAAACACTTAACTGCACGCTGCAAAATGTCACTTTTGTCTACCTTTACAATCTCAGCAGCGGCATGTTGTGAAGTACTTCCAGAGTCATCCAAATCTAATGTTGACACTGTACTTGACATTTTTGACACAGAGTGGTCGTTGTAAAATTGCATTGCAGACCAATGCGGCCAATGTGGTATGGTATTTTCGGCTCCCTGACCAGATTTTGATTTTAGTTTTTTTTTTTACATTTTGAAAGGCCGTTTTAATGTTGCACCATTTGGCCTTGCAGTCTTCCACCGTGTGCCCTGTACACATTTTTTCAATTTCCCGCCATGCCTGCTCCCGTTTATTCCTATCTTTGTACTCGGTGGATGAATACTGCCAAACACATGGATGCTGTTCCACAGCTTGTATCAGCTCCTGTATTGCAGTGTAGGTCCAGGAACAAATTACACTTGGTTTTTTTCTTTTTTTCGGCACAGGTGTTTCTGGTTGCTGATCGGGGGAAAAGAACTCAAGCTCAGCTGAATTTTCGTATACAATGCAATCACCGAATTCCATATTAAAGCTGCAAATACATAATATGAACATAATTATAGCAAATACAACAATTTAAATTAACTTTACTTTACTTACGACAAAGAAATGTTGACGGTACAAACACAAGAAAAAATATTATTTAAAAAAAATCAGGTTATTGACGCGTATTGTCTTCTTTGATTGACGCACTAGAAAACAATAAATATTGACGCATTTTTCAACTTTAAATTTGCGCAAGGTTGTCTATTAACAGTTCACACGATTGTCGTACCAGAGTTGTATTTGATTGCCGCAAATCAGCACAATTTATTTTTGATTGTCGCATTGGACAATAAATTGTGCAATCACACGATTGGCATATAAAATGCACCAATAATTGGCGCATTGCGGCAATCATGTGATCCCGCCTTAAGGGGTGGATAGTCCTTTAAAAATATTCTTTAAAAAATCCACGCCTAAGGGGTGGATAGTCCTTTAAAAATATTCTTTAAAAAATCCACGCCTAAGGAGTGGATAGTCCTTTAAAAATATTCTTTAAAAAATCCAAAAGGGGTGGATAGTCCTTTAAAAAAGTCCACGCCTAAGGGGTGGATAGTCCTTTAAAAAAAATATTCCTTTAAAATATTCTTTAAAAATCCAAGCCTATGGCTATGATAGTCCTTCAAAAAATATTCTTTAAAAAATCCCAGCCTATGGCTATGATAGTCCTTCAAAAAATGTATTTAAAAATATTTTTATAAAATCCTGTATTTTTAATAATAATTGTTATTATGAATTATAATAGAAACTATGTGTGTTAAAATTCAGTTAGTGTAATTTCTTTATTTATACTTGTATATGAATATGTAAATTGTTAGTCTCTATTTTTTATTAAAAATATTTTGATTTTGTTTTTTAATTTATTTTTTTGAAAATAAAAAATTAATATGTATTATGCATTTAAACAAGTTGGATAAATAAATAATGATTATCAAGATATTACAAAAAAAAATTATGAAAATTCAAAATCCATTGTTAAGACACAATTATTGTTAAACATTTTTTATTAAAAATTAATTTCGTATTATAAAAA